TTTTGTGTTTTGGGATTTTGTTGTCGGGATTTTAAGCGTCAGGATTTTGAGTGTCGGGATTCTGTAGTATAACCGTAACTTCTATTTCCAAACTAGATGTGAAAGAATTACTTGAAACGCTGTCTGAAGTATCTGAATTAGAAGAAGCATCTGTGGAATATTTGACCTTATTTTTTTTACTCTTATTTTTGGAAACATCATCATTTAATCTTCTGGATGGTAGATGTATAGGAGGTATGTTGCAAAATATTCGTTGCTTATTAGTACAAAGCAATGACCCTTTGGGTCTATCTCTAATATTTGAGAGAATTTTGTTAATTATATTCATAACCTCCTCTTGAGCTAAACCAGGTTTAGATTCCGTTGATTTAAATAAATTATTTTTACTAGAGCTGGCTTTATTACTATTTTCTTCGATTAATGGAATACTCATACCATTGATTACAATTTTAGCATAGCGAACACAGGTTTTGGAAGAATATCCAAAGCTTATTTTTGCTTTACGCATCCATAACCAATCCCGTCCTAGCACCAAATCAAATGATGGATTTTTGCGAATTTGAAAATCTATTACTTCGATACCATCTAAGCTTTGCCATTTTTCTTTATACCGAAATTGCAAATCTAAGCATTTTATTTCTTTGCTTATCAAATCATCACCAGATATACCTTCTAATCTATAATCTTCTTCAAGCTTATTATACAAGCGCTTGCTAATAGTATTGGATTTAAATGTTGTATCGATTAATGCTTTTACTAGGATTTTTCTCTCTACGATTGTTTTTATGAAAACCATGTCAAATATTGCTGGAAGCAACTACACAATAGCTATTTAATGATATATATTATAACTAAAAAAATAACTAAATTTAGATAATTAATTTTAGACAGATATATTATAAGTTAATAATTTCTAATATATAAATTCTTTATATATTATTTATTTCCTTTTCACCAATTACTGAAGATAGTGAAACTTGAGATTCAGCAAGATATTATAAACACGATAGCAAACCCTGATATTTTTCGAAGAAATCCTAATAATTAGGTGTCACCAGCCTGGCACTGTATATAATTTTTAAGTTTATTGGCATTTTGATAATACCAATCTTAAGCATATTTCATAAATGGTCCATCAACTCGATAAAGCCATTTAATTACTACATACTGGATTACTTTAACCGAATTTATTTGTTTTTGCGTTTGTGTTATCCTATACATTCGATGACTGTAACTTCGATGCATCCTCCCAAATATATTTTGAATAAAGACAAGTGGTAGTAATAAATAATTCGGTATAAAATATCAAGATAATTAATCAAAAAAATTTTATATCCCATATTATGCTCACATAATTGCTAATGCTCTGGTCTCATTGAGTGAGTCAGACTTGATAATTCTGATTACATTCCAAGCAAGTAAGACGTATATTACCTTTTATATGTCCTAGTTTATTATTAATTCGATCAATCGTCCATTGATCAGGATTTCCAGCTTCATCCCATTCTTATAACATTTCATTGAGGCATAATTCACAATTATTTTTTTGTGAATCTTTTAATACAAGGATATAATCAACAGATAAGTTAAATTCACAACCTTTTTTCTTATCTTGATCCATATATCTTACGAGTTTTTCAGAAATAAATGGTCTTAGGGATCGCTCAATTGCTTTCTTATTTTTGGCTTCCTCAATCTCAGGAGGTAATGGAAGACCTTCTATCTGAATTAGCTGGCTCAAATATTCTATGCGACCAACTGCTAAATAAATTAGATTATCCTATGCCAAATGTTCATCGATAACCCAAACTCGTTGTGGTGCTTCAAGCATCATCCCTTGACTAGTATGCACAGTCATAGCATATCCCAAATCCCAATCAAGTATTTTTTCTTCAGTTAATAACGGAGTTAGTGCTAAAGCACATATATCTTTTATAAACTTTTCAGGAAGCGTATTCAATAGTAAATGTACTATATCATTTTTTACTAGTTCTTGTTTCTCAGATGAACCAGGAATTGAAATGAGGCAGTTTTGTTTACGTTCATCTCTTGGCCTATATATTAGTAGAACCGGTAGATCTGAATATTTAATACAATGGAGTTCAAGGCATTTTTGTGATGCAATTCTTCAAGATAGGCGATGTGCTGATAATATACGATCTAAGGGAGTCTATTCCTTTTCGAGACGTTCCTATTTTTCTATAGTTGGGAGAATTCCTCGAAATAATTTTGATTGTATTCGATTATTTTTTCGACGCA